GAAGAGGAGGGGGAACTGAGGCAGAAGGAGGACGACGAGAGGGGGGCCAGTATACGCTATCATACATACATACATAGATGTAGTATTGCATTGGTTAAGACGCCTTTCTATCAAATATGCGTATATAATTGTGAATATATATATATATACATATATATTTATGTGCATACATACATACATACATACACATACGTATGCATGTTTTGTTCGCGGCGGGGGGTCGGATTGCCGCAGGCCCTATCATTTCAAGCAGAAGATTTAGCACCTTAATGTGCTCAGGAAAAAGCCCCTGCGGCTCGAGAACATCGCTGGCAAAACTTCGAAGGGCCCGAACGCACGTCATGGTCTCACAGGCGAATGCCTTCATGTGCGCAGGCTGCGCATTCGGATCGCTAACGATCCGCTCTTAAAAAAAAATCCGCCCGAGTCGTTTTCCATGCCACATAGCTGAATCAAAGAACGCGCGCTGCCACCTGTCCAGATCATCCACGCTGAGACGGGTCTCCCTGATGATGGCCACAACAAAAAGATTTACGTTGTATTGAGCTATGCCGCTTGATGCGAAGTACACGTGCATCCAGTCGTAATATGTCGCTGTGGCCGGCCCAAAGTGGGGGCGCAGTGCGAAATCCCAAAGAAGGCTCTCTGGGTCGTAGTTTATGCCGAATGCTTTTTGCATTTGTTCAAACCTGCCATACAAACCCCGTCTGAGCGTCGCATGAAATGCTGTCAACTCATCGCACTGACGCCAAATTGACTCATTAGTATGCAATATGAAATCATCAGGATTGGCTAAGGCATAGTGATGAATAGTAGCAGAATGGGCGACTTTGGCAGGATCGCCGTTATATCCACCGCCCCGCAGGCGCGGCTATTTGGCGCGCTCACCCCCATATGCGTTTCCGAAAGGCTTTACATTATATTGCAAAAGGGGTCGGTATCCAGGGGGGCGGCGGCGACGCCGTTCAGGCGGCTTGGAAATGTTGGCGCATAGTCCGCAACAACAATTACCCGCTGCGCCCTTAATGTTTTTGGCTTCCTTGTGAGCTTTCTCGTCCTGTATAAAACACGCCAACCTGCTGCGAAGGATCCAGCGCCCCCCAGCACCGTCGGCGAGGCGGACTCCAGTTGCCACAGAGCGCTGGCCCAACAGCAAATAGTGAAGCAAGTGATTGATCAGCCCAGACAATCTGCTTTTCACTGTTTTGTATATGTCGTAATCCAGGGCAGCAAACGGGATCCATCCTACATCGAGGCCTCGGAACCAATACGGAAAACGCGTGAAAATGATATACACCATGTACAATTTGGTGCTGGTGTCTGGCCTCAACGGGTTGCCCCCGACGGTGTCGTCTGCCCACATGGCGATATCTTGAACTGTACCAGTGTCCAGCCAGTGCTTTACAAATCTGGCGTAATCGCTGCATGTCTCGCACAGGTGATGCAAAATTGCAATTGGGTTGCACACGAGCAAATGATAATCACTACCATTGTCAAGCTTCAACGAAATCGACTCCATCAAATGCCCATACGGTGTGTGGATTTCGCTGAATTGCTTAGGCACATTATACAAGTCTTTTGCCGAAATGTGTTCGTCATCTGGGTCGTCGTCACGCAAATCTGCAATTTTCGAAACGATCCTCTCCACTGCTGCAATCGACGCAGATGGACCTGCAGCCGCCAGAAGTGCATTTGTTTTCAGTATTTTCTTGTGTGGCTCGGACATGATGATCTCGAGCAACAAACGGCTACGGACAAGTGCGCACCCCTCCAAACAAAACGCAACCTACAGCTTAGGGCTGGGTGTAGAAAACTTATGAAAACTTGTGAACAGTTAGCAAACACTTATACCAATATATAAATGCGGGTAAGATGTTATAAGCAGATAGTGTTTTCGTAATTCATAGTATAACCGTTTGTAAACAGTTAAAGTATAAGCTTTTATGCACAGATACAACTCAGGATATAAGCTCACAACTTCCCCGATCCAGAAAGAACCCTGCTGGGAATCCTCCCCGAGGACCAGGGTCCGGGAGCCTCCCCCAGACCTCGAAATCTGGCAGGGCTCCCTCCAAGGGGAAACTTCCGGGGAGACCAAAGGAGGCCCCCTGGAAACCTCCCCTGGTCCTCCCGGGCCGCTGGGGGGAAACTTTGTGGAGGACCAGGTGAGGTCTCCTGGAAGTTTCCCCTGGTCCTCCCGAAAGCCTGCCACAGGAGACCTCCCCCCTGCGGGAACTCTCATCGGAGGCTTCCAGGTGAACCAGGGGAAGCCTCCCAGAGACCTCCCCTGGTCGTCCCGGAAGCCTGGGGGAGGCCTCGCCTGGTGCTCCCAGGGGCCGTGGGAAGCATCTCGCCACACCTTGTGGAAACCAAGGGAAGCCTCCGGAAGGCCTCCCCAAGCCCCCGGGGGGATCAGGCGGAGGTCTCCAGGAGAACCAGAGGAAGTCTGGTGGAGGCCCCCTCCACCTCGCCGGAGGAGGGCCCGCTGGGAGGTCTGGTCGACGTGGAAAGTGGGCATCCCACCAGACCTGTTGGAGGTGGAAGGGAGGTATGGTACCAGACCTAGTGGGGTTGGGGGTAACTGAAGACCCAACCCAGGCAAAGCAAGAAAACCAGCATGGAGGCGAACGCGGCCCAAGACGGCACCAAGATACCCCCAGGCAACTCACGACGGCCCAAGAGGGCCCCGAATGTCCCAGGTAGCCCCATATACGACTCAAGAGTGTCCCAGAAGGCCCCCATGACAACCCGACAGTAACCCATGACATACCACATGTTGTCCATGTGTGCCACGTGAGAACCCCAGGCGACGCAATAATGAGACAAGGAGAACGAAATGGAAGAAGGGAGGGTGACAACATGGGGGACGTGGGAAGGGGGAGGGCGACGACGTAGACGAAGGAGTGCGCCCCGAAGCGGCGCGGAAGAGCGCGTCACATGTTGCGGCCCTTGCAAGGCTATGGGCGACGACGTGTCGCGCGTTATGGCTTTCGTGGTGGTGCTCGAAGACTCGCCACGCCGAGTGCTGCGCGGTCGCAGTGCGCGGGACTTGCCGCGAACAGATCGGCATGACGCAAGCGCCGTGGTTTCTACCACAACCGCGCGACGCGTATGATTTGTCAACAATGTCGCGCCCTCCACGAGCGGACCGGGCCCTCCACCTTGACACGTGCGCAATAAAACACCATCAACACATAATGCGAGTGGACGAGGGGGAAAGCAACCAGAAGAGGTCGCGCGAAAGGTGGTCAACAAATGAACAATGCTCACAAAAAAATCACATGCGCAAGCGCCCAACGAAACAAACTTGTAGACACTCCAACAATTTGGCGTGCCGCGAAGAAGGGAAAAAGGGCGGGGGGCCCGCGTGCCCACGAGGAACAAACTTAACGGCATGGTAACCGCTACTGGACACGCCGTCACGCAGAGCCGCTCTGACAACACACACGCACACGGGCGCATCATCGCGCAAAAGCGGCCGAACCACGCCGCGCGAAGCATCGCTGCGCCAAGGCGGTCCGCCCATGCAAAACACGCGCAAATGGCATCCGAAAAGAGCGTTACGCGCCGCGCAAACAAATATGGCGCGGTGTCGCAACAATCAGGCGGCTACGAATGTAAACTCCTCTGAACTGCGCGCGCGCGCGTCGTGTTAAACAGGCCGCGCCGCGCAGGCACGCCACTCGGTCTCGCGCCAGCACGTCGAAGGGAAAGTCTGCGGGAGACGCTCTGCAAGTGGCAATGAAGCAACCCCACGAGAACGCGATACATGTGAAATCGAAACACGTGCCAACAGTAACCGCGACAACAGAACAACCAACAACAAATCATTTTAAAGAAACATCCATAACTTCCGGTTGCGGTGGTTTCTTGCGCGGTCAAAATGGATACCGCTAGTCCGCGGCAGCGCCAAAGCCTTGAGCCCGACAACTATCCTTCTGGTGCCTGTCCCGCCCATCCGTGTTTCCCTCCGACCATTGCGTCTCTCACTACCTGTCTGCGCCCGCCATGGCACCGCCTACTGGCCGCGCTGCCAGGGAGAGGGCGGCCAAGGCGAAGAGATGGGTATGCTGATTCTGTATGCATCAGATACCTGGCGAACCTTGGCATAACCATGCAGATGTTGCTTCTTGCTTTCTTGGTGGTGGTGCTAAAAAGGTCGTGTCTCCAAGTGTGACCTGGCTCCTCCTGTGCCCAGTCAGCGCGCTGCTCCTGCCACTGGTGCTGGCATTGCGCGTGCTCTGGAGGCAAAGGAGAAGGAGTTGGTTGCCCTCCGCAAGCAGGTCATCATCCTCATTACCATCGTCATCATAATCACTGTCGGTAACGTCATCGTCATGAACATCGTCATCGTCATCATCGTCATCATGGTCCTCCTCAGTTTCATCTTCACCATCGTTATCATCATCATCACCGACAACACCGTCGTCGTCGGACTCGTCATCGTCATCGTAATCGTCAGCATCATCATCATCATCATCATCAGCATCATCATCATCATCATCATCATCATCATCATCAGCATCAGCATCAGCATCATCATCATCATCATCATCATCATCATCATCATCATCATTATCGTCGTCGTCGTCAGCGTCGTCGTCGTCATCGACATCGTCATTGTTATCGTCACCAGCATCCGCATCACCATCATCATCGTCATCATCACCGCCATGATCACGTCATAAACAACGTCATCATCACTATCGTCCTCATCTTATCCGTCATCATCGTCATCATCGGTGTCCCATGTTGCCTTCACCATCACCATGTATTACCCGTTGCTCATCTTTGTCGTCATCATATCGCCGGTGGCGTCATCGTCACCACCGCCAACACAATCAATTCCGGCATCGTCGTCATCATCCGAATCACAACAACCAGCGTCATCGTCGTACTCATCAGCAGAATCGCCATCATCTTCGTCATGACAATCCCCATCGCAGTCATCATGATACTCATTACCACCACTCATCAAGATCGTTGCCTGCGGCGGGTTTTTTCGTCTGTTTTGGCGTCGGGCGCGACGGGCTGGTAGACCAGGTCAAACGGCAGTTCCCGGCCGAGGTGGTGCCGCATCCAACCCTGCAGATGCTCTCGAAGCTCCGCCTGAGCCTGCACAGGGAGGAATCGGGGGCGCGCAAACATGGATCAGCGATTCATGGATTTGGCGCGCGGTCGCCAAATCCATAGATCGGGAGAGGTGCCCTCCCCAAAATGCGGCAGGTGCCGCCGTGTTCGGCGGGAACCCGCGATTTCCCATGGAAACGGGGCCGGTCGCTAATCCTCGCCCCCGTAATCCATGTTTGCGATCGCTTGGAAGAGGGAAGGATGCGAGGCGGGGATGTATCCATCACCACCGCCTGGGGGATCCTCCTTCGGAGACCTCCGCAGGCGGTCGATCCGGACACCCGGGAGGCCAAGCGTGTCCAGTTCCACCGCCTGCCAAGGTCCCCGACGAGCGGTCCCACAGGTGGCGGAGATGAATAAATCCCCGACTTGGAGAGAAGTGCGCGGTTTCCCCTGGGCCGTAGGCGACCCGAGGAAAAGGAGGAGAAGGAGGAGGAGGTGGAGAATGGGGATGGGGAGGAGGAAATGGAGGAAGAGGAGGAGGAGGAGGAGGGAGGAGGAGGATGACTGACTGACAGACTGGCTGAACCTGCATCGGTGCCGAGTGCTGATCTGTCAATCTCGCTTGCACCGCAGAGCCTGGTAAGGAAAACGCGCATGCACTGAGATAGACGTACGCCAGGGGGCCTTTAACACTGTTGGGAACGCAAGGCCTACCAGCCCTGCACTGAGCGCCAACGTGGCGCGGCAAGGCTGACGTGGCACGGGGGCGCTTTGAAACTCATCGGCGGCCCCTGGTTTCCTTCTGCACAATTATCCAGCGAAGCGCTGTTAAGCGCTCCTCCCAAGAGGTCTTGGAGAGGGGCGGTCGAGGCGAAGGAAGAGGCTCAGGAGGGGGCGAAGGAAAGAGGACGGGACCCTTGCTAGACCTGCTAAGTTGCCTGCTGCTGCTACTCAAGCTACTCTGGACACTGTGCTGCTGGGTGGCTGATCTACTCACTGCTGCAACTATCGCTTGCCTCTGATCGTGTGTGCTAGACCACCCACTGGGGCCTTCCCTGGCATTTTGGCCATGTCTGCTGTCCTCATCGCCAACGAGAGGAGCCTGGCCAGTGTCGCATGCACGTACTTACTGCCGAAGTCGAGCTCCAGCGGATGCACTCTGACGGCGTCGAGCTCGTCCTCCTCGGCGAATGTCCTCTCGATGGGCCAGTGACCCTCCACAGCGACGTTGATCCTGCTCATGGGCTGCACACCCTGTTTGACATGATAATCGCTGACATGACACGAGTGGCAGAAGTCCCCCATGTCCGATGGCGTGCCGCCGATCACTGATGCCTTGAGAAGCCGCGCGACCGCGCGAAAGAGAACCTTGATCTCGTCTGCCCTGCCGTCCACGCTGGGATCTTTCGAGAACTCGGGAAGGCTGGCAAAGGCGTGTACGTGTGGACTGCCTAGCTGATGCCCACTGCCGATGCTTGTGGCCTGCTCGTCGTAGTCGCCGGTTGCCTTTTTCATCTTCATAGGCGCAGGGTGGCCCGCTGGGGACTTGAAGTGGGTGTCGTTGGCTTCGCGTTCCCTCATTCTGGCCTCTGATTGAAGCATCAGCTTCTTCTCGGTGCCCGGGGGCCTCAGTCTTCTCCTTCCTGTCCCTCTTGGGCCCATTATCCTCTTTGGGCGCCGCATCCTGCGCCGCGCCCAGCCACGTCGACATCGGCGGCGAGAGCATGATCGCCCAGGTACTTGCTCAGATGCGCGCTGGCAAAATACAAGCCCAGCCGCGCGGGCGCTGGAGCAGAAAAGCCACAGAGTGCGCGCCGCGTGCACTTGTGCTCCGCGCGGCCAGGGCTTCTGGCACTGAAACCTGTCGTGCGTCGTTTGCGTTTCATTGCTGCCGCCAGCGAACGTGTCTTTGGCAAATCCGGCAATGATTAGATGGCGTGACTACGGCACTCGATTAGTCTTGCAGGCCGAGTCTGGCAAGGGACCCCTGTCTGAACCTACCCTGACACAGACTCTGCCCACGTGGGCCGCGAAGGCCTTCTGGAATTGAAAACTCCCTCGGCAGACTTCTCAGACGCACAAAGAACCTCCCGTCGACGGGCGCGGCAGGGGTTGCAACCTCGGGCGCCCCTGACTCTGGCGGCGGGATCGCGACTGACAGCCCTTTGGACCTGAGCTGGGCGACGTCGATTCAGGAACGCTCCGCGGGCTTCACCAGAACAGAAACTTTAAACGCTTGCCCTCAAATTCAGATCCCAGTTCCTGCCCTTCTTCAACCTCAAACAGCGCTTGCACGTCAAGCCAGAACTGTTCGGCCCACGCGTTGGCCGTGGGAAGAGCCTCGCCTTCGCTCGAGACTTCGAGATTGGCTGGCCCACACTGTGCCGGACCGGCGAGGGCGGCAATGACCTGTTGATGATCACGTTGTTTCGCAACACTACCCTGCAACCCCTTCAATCTTCTGAGCCTGAGCTCGACGAAGACGCCGCCGAACTTCAAGACACGCTCTGCCGCAATCTTACTAGGGGCAAGTACCAACGCTAAAAGCGCGCGGTGTTTATCATGCAAGATCACGCGTGCATGCTTATTGATCTGCTGCTGCGCAGTCTCCAAGGACTGCCTGGTGAGGGGCTTGGCCGCGCTGGGGACGTGCGACTCCAGCCGCGAGTGGGCCGCGTTGAGTACCACCCCTGCGAACAAGATGGGCTTGCATCTGAGCGAAACCTGCGACGCAATCCAGAAGGCCGCCATTTTGCGCCACGTAGTTTTTTACAGCCTGAAGACGAACCTGTTTGCAGTGTTGAAGACCGCCAAGATATCACGCTGCTGGGGCCGCGTGCCCCTCTAGCCCGGGACGTCCTGAATGAGCGCTCGATTGGACTTCGCTGCTTGACGGCCCGTGCCCTGAACGAGGTTGACTTGTTTTTCTCGGTTGCGAGCCCCCCCACCCACCCCCTTCTCCCCTCCGGGCCTTTTGCCGAAGACGCGGTTCTCAAGACGCCACTCTCCGGGCGTGGATCGGATCAGCGCCCATGAATTTTCTTGCAACATCTTCGACGAAGGCGCTGGTGGCCAGGTCGACGATGCAGTCGTCATGCGGGGGCTGCGCGGCCTCGGGCATCGTCATGTGCAACGCTCTCTGCCATGGGCCCTTATTGAGCATGGGCGCCATGGACTCGGCGCCGCACCCGCGCGTCTTCACGGACAGCCTCGTGGCGGCGTGATCTCCTGGATGTACTCCTGACCCGTTGTTTGCCGCGCTAGCGCTCTCGCGTCCATCTGCGACGACAAACGTACTGTTGTAGATCCTCTGCAGGAGCAGGCCCACTTTGCCTTCCTGATCCAGTCCTGCAATGGCTCGTTCCAGTAGGTCTTTGTGCACACAATAGAATGCATTACTGGCGTCATGGTACCTGGCAATGCGCGCCACTCCCGCCCTCCTCAAACGCGCTGGTCAACGCTGCTGCGCCAGCATAGCGTCCTCGCGACGTCGGCGTGCGATGCCTCCATGAGCCCAATACTTGTATCGTTGATCAGTTCTCATGAACGAACGATAGAAAGACCTGCCCTGTCCACGGACAACTATGATGGGCCTCTCTCATGCCGCACCTACTTTGCCACTGTGCTTCGCCAGCCTGCAGCAAGACGCCCGATGCCATGCGGTTGCTGCTCTTCCAACTGTTCTGATGCACCTGCGCAGCAAGTGGAGGACCCTCTCGGACCCTGGTGCCTGAATCTCCCCAACTTCCTGTCGCGGTCCCAGCCCGCCCCCACTCTGAGGACGATAGTACCAGTTCGGCATAGCTGGCGCCCTACAAACATTTCGTGGCGCCGACCAACTGGGTCGAGCTTGCCGCGACGGTAATTCATTGAGCGCCTTCTTCAAACATTCCACCATAAAGAGTGGGTCGCGATGAACCTCTCCGTAATCCAATATCTCCTCTTCGTTCGGGTTGATCCAGTCCAAGTGCGAGGGTTCGCGATGATCCCCGCGCCCGCTGCCATCAGCAAACGGTCGTCTCCAGAGGCCCGTGGCGCCCTCTGGTACTGGCCCTCTCGCAAGAAGTTGCGCGTCTGCCCCTCCATCCACTCCTGCTGTTTGAAACTGTTTTATCCACGCTCCTGCCGTGGCTCTCATGGTGGGTGCTCGATTGTAAGGACGTCCACGAGGGCCGCGACATGTGCTCGCTAGCAGCCTGGATATCTCACGTGCGCAACAGACCCTGCCAGCCCTCCCAGCACACCATGAACGCTCGATGTGCTTCTCGGTGTACTTCTGGATGAAACACTTGTTGTGCTGTTTCAGCTGTCTGTTAAATCTGTTTATTCAATACTGCATTCATCTGGGTACTCCATACCTGCATCTCTAGATTGCCTTCTACGCTGTAGCAACTCTTTGAGTCTCGTGATATGTGCCAATGTTTCCTCTCTCCTCGACGTATCCTGGTGCCCCGTTCAGCTGCTCCGCTGATACCACCTGGATAAACTGCATGATGCTCTCATTGAGTTGATCCACGTCCACAGCATATTCCCACTCTCAAAGGCGGCCCAATGTTGTGCCAGTCGTTATTCCACTGTCTATACGCAGCGTCTCCGTCCTGTGCCATAGAATAGAACCGCGTTGCACGCCTCCTTGTTGTAGCATAGCGTCGTGGGTTTACCCTGGTACCCAAAGCTGTGCCAGAAATCCGTGGGAATGGGAAAGTGGTTCTTTGAGGCCTTACATATGATGTGCTGCGGTCTTCTCCGTTTGTTCATGGACACAGAACACCCGTCACTATTCTGAACCATGCTGCACTGGCATGCTTGCTGTTGCGAAACGGTTGTCCGCTTGCTGCTGGTGCCACGCTTCCATTTACCTGAGGCGGCATCACATCTAGTCCGCCGTCTGCATTCATAACCATCCCAATCAGTGGTACACACCGTGCTGGCAATTGGTTGAGACACTCGTGCAGCCAATTGGTGGGTTTTGTGGAGATCGCCTTCTGTTCCGCGGCCGCTCCTTTACTTTTGCCTCGCGGTGGATAATGGGCAGGAAAAACGGCAAGGTCGTGCCTCCCCCTCTTGTACCGACCATGAGAGCTCCGCCGTGCAACGTTTTCCCCCTCCACGACTCGCACGATGTGGGCTTCAGCATACCGTATTATTTGAAATTCAACAAATCGTCCACAAGCATGGTTGCAGTCCCTCCTGCTGAAGCCAGAATGGATGAACACATGATATGATGTGACCTGCCTTGCGGGCTCCCCCTACTCCTGATGGTGTTCCCTCGGAAAATGAAAAAGTCGACAGACTTGTCGTCGGACGAAATGTCATTGACCCTGGCGGGGGGCGGAGGGGGTGAGCGGGCTGTAGACCACTTTCCGCAGTCTTCGCCAACCACCGCCGCTCCCATCCCATGGCCCATTCATGCGATCATTGCAAGAATACTGGAGGGGGCCGCTGGGAGTGCTGTTCTCTGAAGCTGCCTGATGTCACTCGATCGAAATGGGCAGCTAGGAGGAGGACGGAGGAGAAGGAGGAGGAGGAGGAGGGGGAGGAGGAGGAGTCGGACGGGTCGCCTAAGCCATTCGGAGAAACCATCCGGAGAGAGGGGGGGTCGAAGAGGAGGAAGGAAAGACAGTATGGGGCAGAGAGACAGAGAAGGAAGGCGGAGGAGGAGGAGGTGAGAAGACCAGAGCAAGCCCAACACACAACAACCATGCTGCAGCACACCGCCGCGTTCCGTACCACCCGTGCCGAAAAAAACTGACGCCCTGCATCCGTGCCACCGCGGCATACTCTGCAGAGAACGCCCGACGCACTCCGAGGTATCGCGCGAGACAAGGGAGGCATCGAAAGAGAGCCATGTCTCGAAAAAGCTGGCCCTGCATTTTTTTTTGATCGGCGGCCCGCAAGGAAAAGTCCAGAGGGCGAATCAATCAGGCAAGCTGGGGCACAGTGCCAGATAATTAAGCTGCCAAGCAGCAGGAGGCGCAGGCCAGAACAACGAGAACGGCCCTGCATACGCGGAGCCGATGGAAAACGACAGGACGAATCTCCACGGCGCTGGGGCGAGACCCCCATGCTGAAAAGAAGCAGGAAGAACCCGTCCTCCACCCGTGTGTAAGTGCTGGGAACGCTTTGTCGAGCGTGCACGGTGCTAAGGCGACAGCAGCATGTAAATATCCCATTGCATCCATTGGAATGTTGGATGCTGTTCCGACAAATGTGCGCGGTGGTAAGGCGACAACCACGCTTTGAAAACGGCCCTCCGTCCAGATAAATGCTGGCAACGGTCACGATGATTGTGCTACGCGCTAACTCGAGAGTCACACTGTATGCATAACCCCCCTTCTGTCTGTGTAAACGGCGGAAAGCTCAAGCGTCAAGATCTGAAAGTGTCAATGGTGCTCTCCGGCGAAACGCGCAGACTGCCCTACCAACATGCTTCGTGGTGCGACGAGGCGGCCTCACATGAAAGAAGAAGGAGGGGTGGAGGAAGCGGCAGGAGGAAGTACGCCTTAGGGATGCCGGAGGCAGCAGGAGGAGAGATGGGAAGGAGGAGGGGGAAGGAGGAGGGTGGGCGAGGGAGGACGGAGGAGGGAGGGGCCGGATGAGGAAGGGAGGGGAATTGATGAGGAGGGCGACCAAACCAAGGAAGGCGAAGGAGGCTCCAAAGAGGGGGAGGAGAGGGGAAGGCGGGAAATGAGGGGGTGTGGGAGAGAGGAGCGGGCAGGAAAAGGGGAGGGGAGGGAGGACAAGGAGGCCGGGCGCACCCTCGCCTCCTCCTCGCCCAGCTCGAACAGCCACCTGCGCAGCTGCCTGCGCCCGAAGCCGTGCGTGTCGAGCCAGCTGCGCGAGAAGGCTGCGAACTCGTCCTCGCACGGCGGCGACGATGACGGCGACGGCGACGGCGACCACGACGGCGGCCACGACGGCGGCGGCGGCGGCGGGCCCGCCTTGAGCCTCGTGGCCGCCGGCCAGCCCGTCGCCCCGCATCCGGGTCGAGCGGGGAGGGGAGGGGCAGGCCCCGGAGCCCGCGGCGGCGGGCGCCGCGCGCGGGCCACCGCCGCTGGGCCCCCCCGCCCCCCGTCCCCACGCGGGGTGGGCCTTCGTTGGAGTGGTTGCCCTCTTGGGCGTGTGTGCCCGGCGTCCTCTCGACTGGAGCGCTAGGGATTTACCGTGTTCATCGTGTGATGATTCATGATGTGTGCAAATGCTTCTCATCGCGTTCCTAGCCCTTCGGCAGCGTTCTCATCGCCACATATATGTACCCTTATGCTCCCTCATCGTGTTCCTCCCTCCTCATATTTGATTGTGGGGCATTACACATTGAATTCAAATGTGAGGCGTTTCATATTGGTGCTATTTGTGGGGTGGATACACATTAAGTATGGTTGTGTGTATTTCAACATTATTTGGGGGGGGTTGTAGTGGCTTGCCGTGGGGCCGCGGAAGCTTGCAGAGTGGCTTCTGAGCGACCGAACGGCACTGCAGAGCCTTGGGCACTATAGCAGAACATTATGTTTAACATCGTGCACTCCCCAGGGGAACCGAATAGCCACCGAACGACGAGACGGCACCGCAGAGCCTTGAGCATTGCAGCAGACAGTTGTGCTTAGAAGCGCGCATACCATTGCGGAATTGGACAGCCCCGAACGACGAAACGGCACCGCGACGATTTGAGCAGTGCACTAGAATGATCCGTTTAGAATCGGGCCCACCCCGGGGGGCATGTACAGCTCGTGGACGATGGAACGGTACCGCAACAGGAAGGTATGCTTAGAATCGCACACCCGTGGGGGATTCAAACAACCGAGCGACGGAACGGCACCGCACGGCCTTGAGCATTGCAGCACGAAACTATGTTTCGAATCTTGCTCACCACTGGGGAAACGGACAACCCCGAACGACAGAACGGCACCGCGGACCTTAAACCGCAGCAACAGTTCTGTTTAGAATTGGGCATACCCTTAGGAAACTAGACAACCCCTGAATGACGGAACGGCAACCCGAGGCCTTCAGCATTGCAGCATACAGTTCTGTTTTCAATCAGGCACACCTCTGGAGACTGAACGATCTCTGAACGACGGACGGCACGGCAGCAGGGCGTTGAGCATTGCAATACACAAATCTGTTTACAATCGCGCGCACCTCGGGGGAAACGGACAGCCTCCAAACGACGGAACGCACCACACAGCCTTGAACACCGCAGCCGTAAGTTCTGTTGAGAATCTGGCACCCCCCAGGGAGCACAAGACGACCTCCAAGATGAGTCAAGATGGCCCAGTATGGCTTCAGATGGTTTCCAAGACGCTGGAAGAGACTCCAAAACCGCTCGAAGGAAGCTCCAAGTGACCACAGAAACGCCCAAAGGAGGCCGCCAAAAGGCCAAACATCGATCAAGAACCTACGGAAAACCACTGATTGTGGCCTTCTCGATGTTTTGCCTTCGACGGCATTCCGAGGCCTCAAGTTGGCCCAAGAGAGCACCAGAGAGCCCCAAGAGAGCACCAGCACGCCCCCAAGAGGGCCCAAGAGCGTTCCAACACCGCCTCAAGAGGGGCCCCAGGAAAATAACTTGAGGCACTCGAGAGGGGCAAGGCTGATTGAAGTTCCCCCCTTCATTGTGACAGACCTCCTCAAGATGGGCCCAAGAGCGCTCATGAAGGCTCCCAAGAGCGCCCCAAGAGGGTTACAAGACATGGTGTTGATGATGATGCTGATGATGATGACGTTGGTGGTGGTGGTGGTGGTGATGATGCTGCTGATGATGATGGTGGTCGTGGTGGTGGTGCGGACGAGGAGCAACGAACAATCTGATGATGATGATGATGATGATGATGACGATGATGATGGTGCTGCATGCTGCTGCTGCTGCTGATGATGATGATGATGCCGCTGTTGATGTTGATTGTGATGTTGATTGTGATGTTGATGCTGATGATGATGTTGATGTTGACGTTGTTGATGATGATGATGATGATGATGATGATGATGATGAAGACGATGATGATGATGATGATGATGATGATGATGATGATGATGATGCTGATGCTGATGCTGATGATGATGATGCTGCTGCTGATGATGATGATGATGATGATGATGATGATGATGATGATGATGATGATGATGATGATGGGGAGGAGGGAGATGAAAAGGAGGAAGGAAAGGCGGATAATGACGTGAGAGGAAGAGGAGGAGGAGGAGGAGGAGGAAGAGGAGGAGGAGGAAGAGGAGGAGGAGGAAGAGAGGGAGGAGGAGTAGGGCCAGGAATTTGTGTTGGTGTGGCCAAGAGGTGTAGCAGCGCAGCAGCAGATGGCCTCGAGCGGGCTCGAGAGAGACGGGCACCTCCAAGGAGGGGGAAAGGAGGGAAGGGGGGACGAGTGTCCCCGTCAAACAAATAGGGGGCCACATGCGAACCCTACCCCTACCCCCCTCGATTTCTGAGGGGGAGGGTGGGGTTCGCATGTGCCCCCCTAACAAAAACACAAAGACACAAACATTCAACGGGAACGGCCCCAGGACCGTCCACCTCAGGCAACATCCTCCTCCTCCTCCTCCTCGGAACCAGGCAGGACTTCAAGGTCTTTAAATTTGTAGCCGAGGGCGAACGAACCGAAAAAGGTGGGTCGGCCGCTTCCCGCACCGTGAAGTTCGGTCCCGCTGCGCGGGTGACGGCCGCCCCACAGCTTACGCAGGCGATCCCAGGACACCGAATTGCGCGGGCAGCTTCCGCGGCAGTCCTGGCCGAGCTTCTGATTGCTGTGCCCCGAGAAGGCACCAAACGAGCTGCAGAATACAAAAGGGCCAACCGTCCAAAGGTTGTGGCCCGCACCTGGCTTACACGGGGCCGCCTTCAGGATCTGGAAGGCACTACCAGATCTCAGGCATCTAATACACCTGTAGCCGCCTTCCGGGAACCAGGCAAGGTCGTGGGACCCCTCGGGAGGCGCCGCATCGTCGGACAGCAGAGGGGCGATTCGACGTCCCCTTTTGGTGCCCACCGCTCGCCTGGCCACCGAACTCAGTTTGGGCACTGCTGCTTTGATGGTCCTGGCCAGAGACTTTCCTACAAACTGGACCAACTGGTGAGACCTCTCGACTCTAGCCATGGCCTCGCTGCGTTCGGGGTGCATGTGGGCACCCGCACGCGCCGCGGCGTCGGCAGCGCGGTTGCCCACGCGCCTCCACCCAGCGCCCTCGTCGCGGTCATCGTCGCGCACGAGCGCATGACCATCCACCTTGATCACCCGCGCCTCACCCCCAAGTCCGCCACGCGGCCCCGCGCCCTCGCCCACAGGTCAGCACATGCATGCATGCTGCCAGTGGTCTCCGAACGGCCTTTGCGGATACTGCATGCCACCCAACCGCACTCATAATGGAACCCAGAAGTCCCGAGGCCTATATCGTCAAGGTACATCCTGAGGGCAAAGAGTTCGCCGATGTCAAAGCACTGAATCGGGCCTGGGAAGGGGGCCGCAGGAGACTGGCTAGGATGCCGAGGCCGCTCGCACTCACCTGAACTACTCCCCAACCAGCTCTCCGAAGCCTGGGGCCGCTCTGAATTATCGAACGACGCGAACCATCTCCAAAGCAGGGGCCCTCGAACATCCCCGACTCAGGGGCCACGCGCCAGTGCGCGAGCAAATCCGAAGTGGGGCGAGGCAGCCACGGCCGCGGGTCACCCACCAAGGCGCGGCACCACAGGAGCCAATCGGGATGGTTATTCGCTCCCTCCAGGAGCGAGCGCGGCGCTGGATAATCGCAGCGGCAGGCCCATGTGCACGCGCAGTCACCCCAGCACCAGTGTTCCACGGTCCCAGGGCCGCCCCCACAAAACGAGCACATTGGGCCTTCCGCAAGTCCTACACTGCGCAACCGCTCATCACCCCAGAATCCGCTGGCGGCCAAACATCCCGCCGTAACTTTGCGCATGCCTGCCCAGTCCTGGCTGGGCCTCCGTGAAATAAAGGCCTTTTGGGTAGCGAGGCATGGAAGGTGGGAGGGGGAGCTCAACAAAAACCTTCGTCACACCTAGCATTGCCCAGAGGCCAGGTCTCGGCCCCCCGCTGCGCGACCTGGCAGTTCGGGGGCAGCCGCGGCACAAATCGATCATCTCGCCCTCCGCGGTGCACAGCTTGCCTACGCCAGGGCCCAAAGCCCAGCCGATTCTGAGGCATGACGCTTGGGCAGCGGAGACGGGGCCCTTGACCTTGCTCCAAGTGTTGTTGGTTTCACCCAGCGTCCTATCGACTGCGAACAACACAAGACTCTAGACCTCTCTCGATTCCCAGGGGTCCCAGAAGGCCTGCGCGAGCATCGCGATGGGGTTCGCGGTTCACGGGCAGGCGTGGTCGATAGCATGTGTATTTCCTGGGGCCAAGGCCAGGTCGATAGTCGAGGACCTCCTGGACGCATGAATGATAAGGCTGCTCGAGCCGCCCGTCGTAGGGCCATCGCCCCGCTCCAAGACCGCCCGGCGACCCCGTCGCCCCAGGAGCCAGCAAGAACAAGCCTCAAGCTAACCGGTTGCTTGCACTTGCCTCTCGCCCTGCGAATCGCTCTGATCTTCTCGCAGCGCCACTGGGCCCTGCCGACGCGCAGGCGTCGGGCCTGGCCACCGACTCGCTTGCCGCAGGCGAAATCGCAGCCCAGGTCCCTCGCGGAGCGGTCCATGGCGAGCCGCAAGGAGGGGCGCAGGCGAGCCAGGTCCTTCGCCGCCTCGTGGTCGCGGCCGACGAGCTTGCCCTTCCTGTCGTTCAGCAGCAGTCCAGCGCCTGTGAGCTCACGTCGTGCTGTGCGAAAGGCCTGGCTCATTATGCGCGCCGGCGTCGCGCTTGCGTCTGAAGATTGCATCGGAGTGTCGCCCGCC